TGTTGATCAGCCATCACCCACCCAAACAAGCAGCGGAAAATCACACCGTAGGGTTGCTCTTTGCTCCTGTGATCAGACAGGGAGACAAGCACTCTATATAGAGAGTAACCATGGCAACAGCTTCTGTGCGCTAAACACCTGTAGCCTATTTAACTTAAGTTAAAATTATAGGCTACATAACTTTTGCGGGGATGCTCTGCCGTGTGAATTCCCTCCTGTTAATGTCCTATTCAGTAAACAGTAATAGATTCTCTCTTCCAATGATTTGTGCTGCACGTCACGTACAAACAGTTCAAGACAATTCAACTTCGGCAGCAGGCGTGTGCGTGAGGCGAGTTCTTCACCTCACTATCAGGGACACTTGCTTCTGAACACAGACTGTTTATGCTGCTCCCTGATAAAAGAAAAATGTTTCTGCGGGTACCTGTTCAGAAAGAAAACAAGAAACAGATTCATATATGTTAACCTCAGAAGGCGCCTGTTATGATGTAATGATCGTGGCTCTGGACTGATGGTAACTTGTTAACAAGCTAGATAAAAGGTAATACCTGGCAGTGGCAAATAGCTTTGGTTTTATATTCGATTTGATTACATTAATTTTTAAGTTGAGATTTACAAGAAATATTTTATTGCTTACTGCTGGTAAAAAGCACCATATTTGTTTAAAGTGTCTGCAAACCACATGTTATTGCACTGTTGTGTATATAGCAGTACATTTAAATTAAAGGTGTGCAATACATTACTTTAGAATTCATTATTCAATTTTGCGCAATAACTATGCGATTAATCGTGAATAATCGCAGAAAATCATGAAATTAATTGCAACTAAAAACGTGAATCATTGCCCAGCACTAAATAAATTCTACCTTCATGAAGGTTATAATGTTCACTTTTTGTTGAGTGGGATTTTATCATTATTTGTTTTCCCTAAATTAAACCTGTAACCATGGGTTACAAATGTGAGTAACTGGGCTGACGAAAGCAATGAAGCACGTGGACATAAAGGTTAATGTAGACACAAGACTGATTTGCGTATTCTGAAATGCCAGCATTTTGGCGTTATAAGGTTTTCATTTGAAAGCAATAACTGGTCATATTAAGTGGCTTTGCTCCCTTTTAGAGAGTCTGAGTAAGACAAACGTGAAATTTAAATGCATTGATAATCCTCTTACATTAGACTGCTGTCTTTGCAAGTGTTCCAACAAACTGCCAGCAAAACATGAGCTGCAACACATGAGCAATTTAATCACAGAGAAATAACTGTGACAAAAGGTGTAAACATGTTGGGACTGGTCTTTGTTGAACCCAGTTAAATAGCATTTCAGATACTGGAGGTTACTGTGATAACACTGACGTCCAGCTTAGGCAATAATCACAGTTATGCAATCAGTGCAATTTTAAAGATAATGAATATGTAACCTTGATAAAAGCTCCAGTTTTACTTGCATAATGTGGTGTCCCCCCACCCTTATCTGTACTTTTTCTAAATGCTTCGTGAGATGCTGTTAGCCGCTTTAGAGTTTGGGGCTCTTGGTATCGCCTCTGTTGCCTGGAAGTCCTTCTCTCTGTGATGTATAAAGCACCAAACACACATTCACACACACACACACACACACATACTGTTAGCATATGAGCTTCTGGTGTTGACACTTGCATTTTTGCCCCGTCTGACGCCATGACACTTGACACTATTGATCATTAGGACATTGGAAGATGAATAGATGGACTCCACTTTAGCTAATTAATCTGAGCAGATGCAGCAGCACTCACCGTCAGTCAACCAGCACTAGAGAGTCGACTAAACAGCTAAAATGTAAACGGTAGATGGGGGCGAATAGCTGAAGGACAGGGAAGGAGAAGAGGAGGGAGGATGCGTGAGATTTGAATATGATAGGTGTTAATGAGAAGCTTTCTGTTTGGATGGTTTGTTTGCTTGTTTGAAGGTGGCTGCAGTAAATAAAATACCCCCAAGATCTATCTCCACTTTAAATGAGTATATCTATTGCAGACTCTGTATGATAGGCTATATGTGCCACATGTAGATTCTTTAAAATATAACCACACTGGCTGGCTGTGGTGTCGTGTGACTTAAAAATGGTGGCGTAGTTTTCCCTTGGTATATTACCTCCCCATTAAAAGTCAAAATAAACCACTGAATGCTTCCTTTTTTACATTTTGACTATAGGTACCAAAGATAGTTCTTGATCAGGTTATAAATACCTCACTCCACAAGCCATTATTGCTTTAGTAGAGAATGAAACAATGACCGTTGAGCAAATAGAGTCATCACTACATTATTCTCATTAATTAATGACATCAACTATTTTCCTATTTCACAACAGATTGACTGTCTCACGGCGGAGAGTGTGAGCGTTTTTGGCCGTGCCTTGAAGGTGAGCGGCAGCGGACCGCTGCCGCTCATCTCAGCTAGAAAGTCGTCAGGCCGCTCAGCAGATTTAATGGTGTTTGGGACATCCCAACTATGTATATTTATCTGACATGCCAGGCTCTCCTAACCTGATTTAATTAATTGTTCGGCCTCCAAATCATGGAGACTTCAAAGGATTTATCAGAAAAACTGCTGACTCCAGTAAAAACTGGCCAAGAGCATGATATGGGGAAAAGACAAGGACATGTTTAGACACAGAGCTATAAAATGCAGTGTGAAGAGGTTCAGATAAGTTAACATTGGAATGTCAACTCGGGTTTTTCTTGTAAAAAATAAATCTCTGTTGCATTAAACTCTGATCGTCTTCAGTAAATCTTTTGAACTCCAATAAGATGTCGATTTTTGCTAATGGTAAAGTTTTGGTGAAGAAGTCCAGACTATTCATCTGGGCCAGTCCTGAGCTTTTAATCTCCAACACTGTCAATTGACCAAATACGTTCAGTGTGAGCACATACATCATGGCCAGTCAGATCCATACATTGTGAGCATAAAGCTTGCAGGTCCTAGCAGTCCAGAAACAGTGGATGCAATTGACTCAAATTCAAAAGTTAAAAAGTTCAAGTTCAGGTGTTGTTTTTATTCTATAGTTTCATCAATTTCAGCTTTCATATTGCACACAGTATTGTAAGGATCATTTGACCCTTTGCTTGGTGGGAAGAAAGCCGATTTGTGACCTTCAGATCAGTTTATAAAACTCTCTGTTGTGCCAGTGCAGGATGGTTGTAGTAGTAGTAGTTTTTTTGGGAAATTAATCACTTTTATATTGCCTAATTATGTTTGGGTTGTAACCCCAAATAAAAATGAACCATTCGACTGTTTTCTTGGTCCCCTGGAATAGCCACTTTACTGTGTCCTATGTAAAGAAATCAGGTTGGATTTCTGCATTGCCCGCTCCTGAGTGTCTTGCCTACTGATTCTGAAATCGTACACAACACCGAAGCTAATGAACTGAAGTCTCCCAGCACAACACAGACTCCAGCACAAACTTCACGTGAGGATAAAAAACAACAATAACATATTGTGTGCTAAAGCCCGTCAGGCCAAACAAAATCAGATTGAAGTTGCGCGAAAACACGGTCAACATCGGAAAAGCGTTGCTTAAGCTTTGTTTAAGATATAAAAATGAACCCAGAGTAAGCCATCATCCTATCGGACAGGTAAACTAACATTACCGTGAAGCATGTGAAAAATTTTGTGCTTTAGATGGCTCAAGTTAGATAATGTTAGCTTTCCGGCAAACACAGACCAGTTGCTAACATTCTCCATTGCAAAATACTACAGTTACTATCCTGTGTACTGGTATTATGTCAGTGTGCTGATTTTAGCCTGCAAGAAATGGTGTATGTACAAGGCAAATCTGGAATTATTTGTTTCTAAAACCAAAAGTGATGCAATTACAGCCAGCTAAATTAGCATGGGTCTGATGTGGTTTGCTTCGTAACATTCAATTTCGATTTATTGTTGTTATACCGATACTCAGGTACACTGTTTTTCCACCGGTCTCAGACGCTGTAACACACAGTAAAAGCCATTCAGTAATGTTACTTACTACGGTCTGTTATACAGTCTAAATCGCAGTCCAAATCAGTTTTTAGTATCGTCCAATACATTTAGCTATGCTTACAATACTGAGCCTCTCAGATGAAAGATACTCAAATAGTTATTAAAAAGCTTTCTACTAAATGCAGTCAATGTAACGTTATCATACAACAAGCATGGATTAGTTCAACGTCAAGCTGATAAAAATATTACTGTAATGTTGCAGTGGGAGTTTACAGCATTTTGCCCGGTGCCGTCACTGGTGTGTTGGTCTCAGTTTTGGCTTGCTCATTAGATTGAGCATGCGCATGAACACAAGCTTGGGAAGGTAGTGGTTGCAATCGGAAAATGCACCACTAGAGGCCACTGAAAAGTACATACGGTCCCTTTAACAATTTAGTTGAGGTCTGGTGTCTTGCTCAAAGGCTCCCAAACAGGGAAACACACACTGCATTTCCTTCAGTCACAGCATCGCCATGCTGCAACGTGCATACAGGAAATGACAGACTGTGTGGGAAGATTTTTTCAACCCTAACTACCCTAACACAATGCAGGTTTTACAGATTTAGGCAATGATCAAGTGTCACACACTTGATGGGACAATTGTAATTATCCTGACCTTCAATAATTTCTAATAAAACAAAGATTAACCACAAAAAGAAAACTTAAGCAAAGCGAAATGCCATAAATGTAGGTTGGACACTTCTTACTGAGAGCTGGAAATGAGCAGGCAACAGTAGAAAGAAGGTAATGTCAGGTAGGCGTGTAAACCACATTTACTGCAGATCAGGGGCTCCCCAGGTTTTGAACATTCAGGAACTTTTAAATAGGTCTCAATAACTATTGCTAGTATGAACTTTAAATGTATAACACCAACTCACATTACTTACACACAGGTTACGCACAGACGCACACAGCTCTCACACCTAATACACACAACAGGAACAGGGATTTTGTCAGATAAACATGATCAGACTACCTTACAGTGGTTTACAAACGTGTTAACTCCTACCGGATGAGCTTTGCTGAGGTGGTTTCCCCATGAGTTGTTAGGATGGGTGGATGTGGTGGAAACCAGCCTGAAGGTCCTGTGGTGAAAATATTTCTCAGTCCTGCGCCTTGGCCCTGAAAAAGAAAAATCCCCATTTTAACAAGTCATTTAGCCTATAATTGAGGACTAAAATGTATTTTTAAAACCAGGAAATAAATCTCTTCATGGGGTGAGATCATGTTTCTGATAAAAATTTTACTTACAAGATTTGTTTAAAGTTTTTACGATACAAGTGTACCCATATGCTTCTTGTTTTAAGATAGTAAAACACATTCCTTAGAGCATTCTTCAATAACTTCTTATCTTACCCCACTAAAGTATTTCATTATTGTTATGGGATACAATCTCAAAGACTGAATATGAGATCAACTGTGCACGTGAGTATTTTTGGAGTAACACATTTTTTTGTTTTTCCATACTGCCAGCAAGTTAAATGTAGATTCTTGCATTCACTTGGTGTCACAGGTTTGATCTCTGATTTAATGAGCTTGAACATCATCTGTATTTGCACAAAGGCAAAATGTTTTTGTACCCAGTCAAAGCCTTGCATTAGGAGCATGTTGCACTTCTCCATACGCAAATGAATAGACCTAATACCAACACCTTCAATTAACCATATATTAGTTAGTATATTAGCACACATGTTTAATCTTGGACAAACAGTAATGCAAGCTTGTTCTGTCCTTCATCTGGCATTGGTAATATCCTTTAACAGTAACTGAACTGAAGCATCCACTTTGCTGTTACATACAGCCATTACACACCCAATATACACTGTCAATCATGCTAGTACATTCAAAATTTTTGATCTATTGCATCTATTGTTATTCTTGTTCCAGACCTACTGCATGATTTGAGACCTGTAGTGTCTGACACATTTAAGGCTTCAAATAAAATTTTGCCCTAGCTCTCTCTTTGATGTTATCATTTTCCTTGGCGCACTATAAAATCACACTACTTTCTGCTGACTCATAAACGTCTCTGGTTGATTAACTGCACACACTTTGCACGCTCTTATTGACAAATACCCGTTTCTGTGCAGAAATAGTGTTATGCATGCTTCATGTGGATACGTGACAGTTGTATATCAAAGAGCCACCGTTAAACTTTGTCTACAGCCGAATTTTTTTCTCACAGAAAACTGATTTGACTGAGAATTATTATTATTTTTTTTTTTATTTATCTGAGATACCAGAGATACCAAGGTGCCTTCACTGCTGGAATGAATCGTCTCTCACGTGTTAACCACTGAAAGATGCTTGATGACTACACCTTGTTTCATAATTAAAGGAAATATACATGCCAAAGATGCCTGTAGGTTTTCTACGGCATCAGTACATCCAATGATGTAGTGATGTGAATGATTACGAAAGTAAAAAGATCCCTAAAATGTGTTATTTTAACAGAATTTTTCCAGTTTTATCTGGAACTATAAACACGTCACGAATTGTGTCAGATATGTTCACAAATTGTGTAATAATTCCTAGAAAAACATATATCTGGATCTGCATGACTTCATATATGGCATAGCTTTCTTTGAAAGTTTTAAAGAGGTTTTCGAGGTACCCTACTAACTACCAGGCACAACAAACCCATGGCAGAGGTAAAACTTTTTCAAACTTTGTAAACAAGCAAAATGACACATATTTGCTTCTTGTAGTCCAGGAAAACAAAGTTTAACCCCCTAAATTTTCTAAATGTTTCTAGGTAATTGGAACCCTCACAAAGCCTTCTTTTGGGCGGTGTTTCACCCAGTTAAAGCTCACTCACCCATTCTGCATGTGTTAGTGTATGACACACGAGGCAATGTCTGAAAAGCCATCCCACACACAGCAGACAGATGCAAAGAGGCCTTTGTGTGGGCAGAGATTTGACTAAACCTTAAGCCTGTTTGTGCATGTGTGTGACAGAGAGAGGGTGAAAGAAGATCTGATGTGGGTGGTCAACTTTTAATCTCTCTCATCTCTTATTTTTCATTTTTAAATGATATTTATTTAAATTAATTTCAATGTTATTTATATCCTTTTACCTTTTTTTTCCTGCCATCTCCAGCGTGCGCCTTGAATTTTGTGCTACTGCGAAGACAATTTTCCCTCGAGGATAATATCTATTGAATCACTGACGCTCAAACAAGTAAAACGTTTGTCTCTTTGGCCCTCATCCTTGCCTCTCTGCCTATAATTAATTTGTTTCCATTACTGAATCCTTATTATATACCTATATATTCTAATATCCACTTGCCTTGTATATACAGTAGATAATCTAGAGATAAATAGAACAGACCTGCAGGTTGTTTCCACGTCCTACTGTTTCCCTGTTACATTCTCCGCACATTGTGTATCTTTTGTACCTGGAAAAACAAACTTTCTGTAAGGATTAAAGCAAGCTTGAATTTAAAGTGTTCTTCTTCTTTTCTGTCTCATTCTTCCTCTCTATTTGTGTTTCTTCCTCCCAAGCCGGTATGAACGGACATCAGCACACACGGCAGCCTACATCAGATTTCAATAACCTAAACCTGTTATTAAACAAAACCTTTTCCCTCATTATCCTTCCGATTAACCTTCAGCCAAAACCAGCGTTCTTATCTTTAATTTACGCCATGATGACAGAACAACCATGAAGATTGAACTACAGCTGCCACCTAATAGTCAACTAACCCTTTAGTCAATGAGAAGAGTCGTAGTCGACAAACTTGTCACCAGTCGAGGAGGTTTTCAGGCCCGGGGCGAGGGACACAGCGAGGAATGCTGCCTTGAACCATAACCAATGCTGACCTAGCAGGCAACTGAAACAGACTCAGCAGCTTCACAGTGAACATGTGCCGGGAACGCACACAGGCCATGAGATTAACAGAGGCCAGCTTGATGAAAGGGATTAGTACCGAGGTGATTTACTCTAAGGGGTTCAGGCACGGGCAGTAGAGGCGTCAAGAGGAAGAGGAGCAAGTTTGTAGCGAGTTAGTTTGTAAGTTACGTTATATATCCTCCATTGTGTTGATAAGTCAGTGAGTATGTGAAGATGTAAGTAATTTATGCCGGTGTTTTGAACAGCGAGACTGGTGTGATGTTATGCTGTGTAAAAATAAATGAACAAAATGTTCAGTCTCTAGCTGGTTGTTCCTACACATTCAGAATAAAATATACAGTATATTTAAATAAATAAATTACTATCAAACATGTGACAACTAGTTGACTACACCAACTATTATTAATAATTCCACTAACAGTTATCTTTGTTGGACAGCAGAGTCTCACTGCAACTGAAAAAGAGCTAAAACAAAAACTACATAAAAGTCTCAAACTTAACAGGACAAATTAACACAAAAACACATTCAATTTGGGATGGTTTGCTCGACAAAAACTCCATCAAAAGGTGCCTCTAAATGCTCCACACCCACACACTGCATCTTTTGTATTTAACACATGTACAAATAGAAAACGAGACATTGTGGTTTAACAGGCAGCCAGCTCTCATCAACAGCTAGTTGAGTTATCGTTGTCCTCACAGTGCTGATGTAGAATTCATACACTCTCGTTCTGCACAAAATCAATCAATTCTCTAAGTAAACTTACCAGTGGCTTAAGTTAGCAAACCAGCCAGGAACACACAACATATAAATCTGAAAACTTTAGAGTGTCTTTTGGTAGAGGCTAGCCACTCCATTCTAGCTCCTGCACCATGCTTTAAATCATCCCTCCATTAAACTCCCGGTAAAACAGAAAATAAGCCGAGCCCCCAACGTGTCAAAGTAACTTAGTTGATTAACTGTTCAGTCAATCGACTAAGAAATATATTTGCAACAATTTAGATGATCAAAATATAATTTTAAAATTACCAATTCTCTAGTTCTAAGCTCAAATGGGCAATTGTAAACTCTGGAGGCTTTAAACAAAAAAAAACACTTTTGAAGACATCACCTTGGTGTTTAGTGTTTCCAGGCATCTTGCACAATCTTCGATAAATTGAGTAAAGACTCAGTTATTAAAAATAAAAGATAAATCATTAGTTGCAGTTCTAAACAGTTAACTAATCATTAACTTTCAAAACTGCAATTTATTACACTACTCATGCTGAAAGCTTTAAGTCACGCTCTAATGCCCAACAATGTAATTTAATAAGAAGATGTGAGCCTTCATCGAGTGGGCTTTTCCTGCCACTGATTTTCACTATCCCAAACTTTAATTGTCAATTTAGCAGTAAAACCAAATTTTCTGAGCTCAAAAGTGAGCCAATGAGTGCTCAACAGTATGATTCTTCTCTAAAAACAGTATATATTAATACAAATTAATGAATCTAATTTTGTAGCATTCGTGAGGAAACTGAGGCTCTCCTGTGATCTCAATCAGCAGAGCCAAGTTCAAAGTCTTTCACAAACAGTTCACACTTACATTTTGGAACGTGACAGGAATTTCCGTCTTGTAAATCCTGTTTTGGCACATACACACAACACTCACTTTGGTTCTATGTGCTGTGAGTCATACTGGATCAGATTCATTGTCCCTCATAAGATAATGCCATCCAATTGAACAATAACACAAACTACAGCCTCACATATGATCATACAGCTGAGACAACCTCTCTGACGCAGTTCAAATACTGTAAAAGCTTCAAAAGAGAAGAATTTAGCACGGACATATATTGAATTACAAAATGCAGTCGTTGCCATAGTTTTCTATCCTATTGTGTCAATGTGAGCTGTGTCAAAACTAGTAGGTATGCATCATCCCTCGTGTTGAAAATGACACATAATTCACACGTAGTTCAAGCTTCTTCCATTGTCATTTTCAGCATGACTCAGCTACAACATAGGAAGGAGGCGATTAGCTTGGTTTACCATAAAGCCTGAAAGCAGGGGGAAATTGTAACTTCACATTTTTACACTTATAAACAAACAGGATATTTAATCCTATACAAACAGGGATAGGGTAGATTTTGCATTTCATAACCACTTAATTTTGGAAAACATAACGTGATTTTTATGCTTCTACTGATAGCATTGTTAACAAGAAGAGAGATAAGCATGACAGTAAAATAATTGTCCACAGTGTATGACTCCAGATAGGCATTATTGCTG